ATGTCTATTAACCTGTTTTAGGTCAAACCTTTAGGTCTAATTAATGCAACTCTTGAACCAGTTGCACACTCAAAAATTCCAACAGTTTCTGAAAGTGTCAACTCTGTGCTTTTTCAGCGATATATACGGTAATCCCAGGCAGGGCAGCACATCCAAATCACGGCAAATAACAGTAAAAAGCAAAAACTTTTTTTTTTTCTTTTTTAAAACTACTGTAAAAATATCTGTTTTCTGTAGAGCTCAGTCAGTCTTCGTCTTTGAAGGTTCTGATTTTACGGTAGTTACAGAACTTTGAAGAAAAACACGGCAAAACGCCTGTCTGACGTCAGAGACAGGTTAGGCTTCAGAGGGTTAAAAAGTCCCACAAAAGAATGCTAAATAGCAAGTTCTTGTTCAATCTGCCAGTTTATGTGTCTGTGATGCTAAACTAGCATCCTCTGAATGAAGTGTGTTGAGCAGGTTGTTCGATGCTAGAAATGAAAAAACAGAACTTTTTGGATAAATAAATGCAGCCTGAATGTTTAAAAGAAAAAAAAGAAAAAAAGAAATCAGCTCTGACTGCATTTTTTTTTTTTTTTTTGAAAGTGAAAATGAGTAAATTTTATTCATTTTACTTCAGAGGCCAAACTTTAAAAAATAAAATGAAAAAATAATTTGAAGCAGAGCTTGAAGATTTCCATGAATCCAGTAGAGCTGGATGGAAAAGGTGCAGCCGGAAGACCAGATTATGAAATCTATGTGTTTTGGTTCGTGCAAAACACAAACAAGCTAAGAAAAGAAGAGCTACATCTCCTCCAGCAGAGATGACAGCTTATGACTTTTATTTGTTTTGAATCAGCTGCTTAGGAATATGAAGTTAACAATACCCAATAAGAAAGGAGCTGGATTTATGATCTGAAATACTCCTCAATGAACTAGACCCAGTGGTTTCAAACATACGGTCCGAGAGCCACAAACAGCCCACCAAATGGGTCATTCGGCCAAATGTAAAAGGAAGGTGGTTTTTAACTGTATTTTTATCGGTTTTACAGCCTTCTTATTGACAAAGTAAGTTTGTAATAGATAGAGGACAGAAACTGAGGTGTTTTTTAATTAAATAAGAGGTCCTCCGTAAATTTCTAAATACATTTTTATTTCTGTGAATTAAAGGGTAAAGAAATCTGGGTAGTGAGCTGTGAGGCCCTTTTCTGTAACGTTATTCATTAATTTCTTTATGTTTAAGCCCAAAAAGCCACAGTGGCAGCCAGCATTTCTTTCCAGTGAATAAAGAGGAGACCCTTTTGTATGCTGTATCCTGTTCTGAGCAGCCACCTGCCCCACATGGAGATATCACCCTTTAAAATGTACCCAAAAATGGCATAACCCTTTGAAATTACACTTTCTGAATTTTCTTCTCAGTGAATATATCGGATTTCCAAATTCAGAGTTACTTCCACTTTTTATTTTTTAAGTCAGCTGACCCTGAGGGAGTCTGGTAGGGAGTGTTCTTGGATTTGACTCCCACAATGCTTTTTCTCACCCTCCGCGTGATCCGGCCTTACCTCAGAGCCACGGCTAAGAGCTTGGAAAGGGTGAAGCGGTCGCTGCTGTTGCTGGGAAATATGGCTGCCAAGATGAGTGTAAACAGACCTGAAGAGGAAAAGGAGACATTCAGAAACGATTTAATGCAATGATCCATCATCTTTGAGATGCTAGTGCTGTAATGTACATGGAGAGAGAGAGAGAGCGATGGAGTTACCTGAGGTGGAAGATAGAATGTTGACGATTGCAACCTGCGTGTCGGACAGAGCTTCCTGGTAGGACAGGTTGGCCAGGAACCACTGTGAGACAAACAAAAACAACGATGAGGCCTGTGATAAAACACCGTTTAATTTGCCTCATAAATCCAGCTCTGATAGAAAGTCGGGAACTCCAACTCCTCTCACTGCTGCTCACCACAAAACAGAAGAAGAAGCTGATTTTGGCCACGTCAGTGATGGTCAGCTTGCCCACGGTGCGCAGCATGGCCTCGTGGTCCTTGGCAGCGGGGTAGGACATGCGCGACAGCTTGGCCTCCAGGGCCTGAGTGGAGGGCAGCTGGCGCACCTCCATGATGTTACTGAAACGCACCCGCTGCTTTTTGGATGCTGGGAATAAAGAGACAAGACGTATCTTTAAAGGCTTTAATGTTTACTGCTGGACACACCTAGTTGGGCTCTAAAGCTGCCTCCATCAAAAGCAGTTACCCTCTTGGTGCAGCAATACGTATAATACTGTGTCTTCTCCACACTTTGACCCTACGATCTATCTGCTGTAGGCAGAATCTGGACTCATCACTGAACATGTTCAGGTTCTAATGCACATGTTACAGACATCACCGCAAATGGGCTTAATGGTGAAGGGCAATCCTGGCTGCCTTATGAGACCAGAGCCTGGCTGTGTGCAGTCTGACCTGGCTTGTCTGGGTAGAGAGTCATCGGCCATATCGTCCTGCAGACCTTGACTGCAAACATGTAAAAGACTGCCCTTGGTTCCTACGTGCTGACAGAATGAGGAAACGGTCTTCTTGTGTTGTCTGACTGGAACGCCAACTTTGCAACCCATCTCTCTCAATTTGGAGAAGATACTGGTGCTCACTCCAAATAATGCTGTAACTTGGTTTTGTGGAAAACCAGCATGAAGTTGTCCTATAGCATTGGCCATGTCCAGATCAGTAAAAGGTTCTGCTAATCAGGAGCCAATCAGGCAGCTGTGGAGTACCAGTAGCTTTAAAAAAAGGAACGGCAAAAAAAACCAATTGGTAATGGCCGAAAAACTGGTGGTTTTTTTTTCCACGGGCACAACCCACATACTTAACTCTGCTGCTCAATCCACAATGCTTTTCCTTATGAATGTGGCAGAGAAATAAACAGGCTTTCCAACAGTATGAGATTCATTACCAAGAAACATTGTTACAAGAAAGAAAGAAACAAACCGCCTTACTTTTTATGCTAATTTTATGTGTGAGGTTTTTTTTCCTTTTCAAAGTTTGACAAAATTTGTCTCATTCAATGTGTAACATGGTGTTTGAGTTTATTTCCAAAACAATCCTGTCATCTTTTTGGCATTTAATCATTCGAGGTTCATTAATATTTATTTTTAATCACCCTGGATTCCCTCTGGATTCTTCAAAATTATCTCCTCACACGTCGCTCTGAGCGCTTCCCAGAATGTTTTAATTTCATAAAAAACATCACTTCCAGCTTCAGGTGCCACAAACATAAACACAGGCAACGAAATCTCAGCAGAAACACCAAAAAAACCATCACCGTTTACCTTGTCACAGCTTCCCATCACAGCAGTTAAGACACATGATTGCTTTTTATGCTCGTCTTCATTCGTTTGTGAAGACGAGCATAAAAAAAAAAAATCATTGTTTCTTAACTGCTCTATCAAACAGACAATTTGAGCATAATTTAGTTTTGTTAGTCACTGAAAGCAAAGGTCTGAGGGACACAACATTTTCTTATATTTGCACAGCTCAGCACTGCCCTCTGTTGGTCAGAAGTTTCAACTCCTAATCAGTCACGTCTGGGTGAAAGCTTCAGAAGCAGGGATGCATTTTTAATGAATGACACAAACATCAGTACTCACAGGATTCACAGTCTCCCATTAAACAGCTCGAGTGCTCGGTGGGGACGTCCTGGAACTTCACAGGTACGTACAGAGGCTCACTCTGCAAAGGTGTGACAGAAAGCCAGCTTAGGTACAGGTGCAGGATGATTTACTCGTGTGCAGTACACCTGCAGTAATAAACTACGTACCAGACAATTGTTCACAGTGGAGTCAGTGGTGCAGGGTGTGAAGTAGGCTTCGGCATCAGCAAACTGCAGAAAGGTGCAAATCAAAGAAGTCAAAAGCAGAAGATGTCAGACTGATCTTCAGCTTCGTAACAGAAAATTATATCATTCTATAACTTTTAGTTAATTATCGTCATTTTTGTTCATGAACACAAAGAATAACAAACATAAATGGAGATAAAGTTAGAGCATAGAGCATTTGGCAGGTTTGCAGCAGACAGTGGATATAATGGACAAAAGAGTTGAAACAAGGACAACCACAGAGAAGATTCATGGATGTGATGGAGGAGGACATGCAGAGGGTTGGCGTGTCAGAGGAGGATCTGAGGGATAGAGTGAAATGGAGGCTGAAGGTTTACTGTGATGAGCCCACAAGTGAGCAGACGCAGGGGGTCTGCCTGTATTTTCTGATCTTTTCCTTTGTGAAATACTAAACTTTTTGTGCTGCTTTCTGAGGTAAACATGAAAGAAAAATACTGGCGACATCCAATGCTACGCCTCAGCTCACCTCACAAGATTTTCAAAAAAACTGACCTCTGACCCTGACCTCGAGGTTGAAGTCACTGAGAATTGTCTGAGATTTGTAGTAGAAGCACCTGTGGTATCAATTTGAAACTCCTACGTAATCACCTTCTCGAGTTATTGCATCAACAAACTTGGGTGTCTCCCTGGAAGAGTTTAAAGCTCTTATAAAGACTTGTGTTGATGTTCCTAAGCCTTTATTTTGCCTCCTGTCTATTTGCGTTGTCTGACACAGTCATATGAGCTTGCCAAGCAGGTCTCAGTTTGCAGAGAGATTTAAATCTAAAAGGTCTTCCTGGTCAAATAAAGTTAAAAATAAGTACAATTCTGTTTTTTACCCCTACTCTACAAACATACAGGTGGAACTCACCCCCTGAACAAACATGTTCAAAGGGTCAGTTCCCCCTGAGCAGAATGTTTGCTTCACTGACTTGTGTTACGATGAAGAGCAGCGAGCACAGCAACATTTACACTGATGAGAGTTTTAACAAGAAAAGAGCTCGACAGACACCTGTCACCATTAGAAAAGTAAAAGCATGAAAAACAGCCCTTAAATGTGCGCTGAAAGTGTTCACTTACGAAGGCGGACCGGCGGCGTTTCAGGGTGCCCGTGCACTGCTGCCTCCATGGCCGCCACAGCAGGAAGCCCAGCAGGTACAGCACGAACATGGACGTCTTGGCGAAGGTGCTGAAGAAGGGCTTGTTATAGTCCTGTCGCTTGAAAATGTACTGCAGAAGGAGTTGTTTCATAAACTTAATTTCAAAGGTTGAAACTCACAATTTAAAAATATTTAACTGCAGTTTTTCCTCATGAGATGTGAAGGAAGAGCATCACAGTCAGGTAAAGTTACTCCAGCACCATCTGGTGTATCTGCGCCTCGTTTTAAAGCGGGCCTATTCTGCTTTTTTCTGCTTTCTGGGTAACATTAAACATGGTCACCGTTTTATTAAGCCTTTTCAGTGCTTGGCTCCAACATCACAGGCATGGAGATCAGACTTACCGAGGTCAGCTCGGAGGAGGCGACCCAGATAACATCCACCAGCAGGAGTATCACCACCCCCAGAGCCATCCGTCTCCGCTGGGCTGCAGAGCTACCCTGAGAGCTCATCCGGTTCATGATGAACACCCACTCCATCGGGACGGTGAGAGGAGAAATTCAGAAACTGCCTCGCTGATGACGACATCACAAGACAGACAGAAGACTGTGAGCTCCGAGGTTGACCAACTATAAACTTCCCAACTATTTACCTTAGATTTTTTTTCTACTTTAAAGCTGATGAACCTGTTCTAAACCTGTTTAAAAAGCTGCCGTTCAACATTTTAATCACTAAAAACATCTAAAAAGTTATGAAACCACACAAAGAGAGACTGCAGTCTAACATATCAACCAAAACCTCAATTTCGAATGTGGCTAATCTAGTGTGGAGTCTTTTAATCTGGAAGTGGAAGTTAGACAGACAATGCAAGGCATAAACAAACCTTCAGAAAACTTTTGTCTAAACAATAAGTGTGTTAGTGTCTGTAAGTTTGCCTGCAGCCAAATGTTTAACGGAGTAAGGTTATCTTTTTACCACTTCAACACCCACCTGGTCGCTGCCAATAAGTAAACTGTGATTTTAGCCAGTCTCTTTGAAGGTCAACTCAGATTCTTTGTTTCAGCCAGTTTAAGTTGAGACTCGCAGTTAAACACCTGCCAAAAACAAACAAACAAAAAAAACAAACAAATTAGAAGCCAGGAGAGTTACTCCACTGTGCTGAAAAACTTTGTGTGCGTGAAAAAACAACAAATGTCCATGATAACATATTTATCTCTATCCCCTATATTTGATTACCTCTGTTTCCTTAATGATGAGTTTGACAAGTCAGTTTATTTCAATAAAGATGAGGTTTGATGACCATTAGAATAGTTTGTGTAGCTGCACAGGCAGAGACCAGCCTCACTAACTTTTGATTCAAACCCAGTTATTTTGTTATATAAGCAAGTCTGAAATATGACACAAACCAATCAGTTCAGAAAAGATCTTCGAGGGTTGCTTCTAGTCAACTTTCAAAAGGTAAAGAGTTAAACGCTGCACAGAGAGCAGACCATGGATCTGTATGAAGAAAAGGAAAATATAAACCTGAGGCTACAGTCCCACAAACTCTGACACAAATCCTCTTCCTGATGAGGACGTGAGCATCTGTTAACCAGCCCAAAGAACACCTCATAGAAAAATGCTGCGATGGAAATAAAGGCTGCATATCTGAATGCTCATTGCTGCCTCTGTTAACTGCTGAACGATGAGCTTTGGGTGTTTGTGAGGGGTCTGCAGACACTGAGCTTTAACAATTCACTACTGTCTTCATGCTAACATGCTTATCATGCACTTTACAGTAATCATGTCAAAATTAAAATGCTTAACTCTTCTCTAATATTTTACAAATTTAAAGAATTTGAAATATCATTATTCTTAGTTTATATTATTTACTTATTGTTTCATATGTGGGTTACTGAGTGGTGGTGTGGGGAAATAAATCATACAACAGACAAATACCAGTCGACTACCCACTTTTAAAATGAGGGATAACAAATGTAAATTAAGAGAAAATAAAATTTTTGAAAAATATGAAATGTCGCGGTGTACCCGTTAAACTTTGGAGTTAAACCACGGATGCATTGTCCAGCAGACTGTAACTTAAATACTAAGAGTTCACCTACAGCTCTATGTTACATGAAAGCTTTATTACTTCTTCTTTTTTTTGTTGTGAGTGTGTTTTAGTCTGAGGTTAGAGATGTAGTTGATCTAATTTTACTTATTTGTTGTCTCTGAAACTCTCTTTTTAACCTACTGTGTAACCTGAGGTGCACCTTCTTAGAAACGTAACTACACGTCAGGTCAAAGCAGTACACAACTACTGTTATTGGCCTGTTCAGTGCCACTGATTACTCTTGTGCATTTCCAGCCACTTAACAATTATTGTCTCAATATAAGGACTAATAATCATAGCATCAATATAAGGACTCGCAAATCTCAGCAAATTCCTGGAGGGAGACTGCTCAATATACTGGACGACATCAGGGAATGTTCAAAGACTTGGAAAAACAAACAAAAGCATTTTGTTTGTTTCTATTGACCGGAGGACATGTACAACACCAGGACACACAAGGTAATTAACACGTAATCCACTGATACAAGCACAAATGCCAACAATGACATTGGCCAATTACACGTTACATCATAGGTGCTACAAACACTCCCTGCAGATATCTAACTCAAGCCTTACCAGTAACACTTTTTGCGATCTAACTACTAATTTTGACCTCACAAATTTATTTTCTTTCACATATCGTATTTTATTTTACTGAACAACTCTACTTTGATTAACCTGAAGTGATCAAATTAATGGCAACTTGACTTAAGTTTCTGAAGACACTTTAAGTCTCATCTGAGAGGCAACTTAAGTTCAGAAAGCTGAGAGGAAGGCCTGTGCATTTACCCACTAGAGGGGCTGTTACCTTGGAGGACGTTGTTGACCCATCCTGACTTTATGAGACTCATTAAGGTCGCACTAGACAAGTTGTGAATGGAGAATCTCTTGCTTTAAAAGGTGGCTGGTGGACAGGCCACCAACGCTACTCTGTGATGGTCTCCTTCACTGAACAAATAGACTTAAGATGACTGAGAACCTACACAGACTTTGTTTAATACACTACCTGTTATGTACCATATGTGAATTTCACCACATATATGGTCAATAAAATCCACACTGTGCTGAAATGAAGCGAACCATATGTTATAACAGGGCTTTTTACTACCATCGAAACACCAAACGGAGGGATAGGTTTCGGTAAAATGGTGCTCATGGCTCCATTTTCAGACAGTAGGAGACTATGTGTAAATAAACTTTGTTCTGCTTGTTTTTCAACTGTCAGTGGGCATGCCCCGAACTTTAAAAACACACCTCAGAAAACTTTTAAACGATTACTAATGAAAGACATGCATACACCTTCACTTACCTGAGCTTTAAATCCAGCTATCTGCCAGCTAGCTACGCGTAGTACATCCAGAGAGCGTTGGCAGTAACTCTTTAAGGTACGAACAGGTAAGCTGCTGGAAACACGACCTCCTTAAAGCTAGCCACTCACGGCTTTTAAGCTAGCTAATTTATTACCTGTTAAATTCTGACAGTCTGGAGGTCGACAGGTGTCCCGACGCTTTACTTTATAACTTATCTGGACATCTACTCCAGTTCATTGCCCACAGCTCAGGCTGAAGTCCACTTATTCAGTGTACCGCCGTCGCAGGTGTGCTGCGTTTAGCTGCTTGTTTACCTATTAGCATTCTAAGCGCTAACTGGCTTGATTGAAAAAATAAAAAAGAAACAATAGTAAAATAAGATTTTTTTTACCCGAATGTGAGAGTTTAGTTTGCGCCATTATTTAAGCATCATCCCATACGCTCCGGAAATCCTGACAAAAATCACAGCTTTGACCGATAAAAAGTGTCACCAGCCCAGCGGTTGTAAACATTAGCTCAGCCTCCTGTCAGGTGACATCACTTAACGGTGCAAGGAATTCTGGGGTATGAAGTCTTAAGGGGGAAAATGTTTGTTTTTTCATACGGTATTTATAAAGTCTCATTTTCTTGGTTATTTGTTATAGCTGGGTGTTTTCACCTTTGAAAATGTCTTTTTGGAAATTAAATTGAGCAAATTAATTCAATTTTACCTCGGGCTGTGGAGAAAACATCATTTACAAACACAAATAAAAATAGGAGCTTCAAAGAGGTTTTGCTCATTTTGTTTGTTTGTTTGGGTCAGTAATGTTTTAGTATGAACTGAAGTCTATTGAGTGATTCCCTTACAGTTTGTAATTTTTATCCATAAAAAGTAATTTGCATTGTACTTCAATTTTATTATACTTTTGCTTTTATCACAATATTGTTATTAGTTAATATTTTAAAAGTAATATTTTAATTTGTTTTTAAGCTGATTTGGACTACAGAGCTCTGGTGGTGCTCTGTAGTCTCTACTGCTCAGCCACAAGCGAGAAACCATTTGTGTCATTGCACTATACAAATACAATCATTATGCATACTTCTCACTAATTTATACATACAACTATATTATACTTAATATTTTGTTATTTATATTGAATTACACTTTAAATATTTTTGTTCATTGTTTCTGTATAAATTGCTCTGATGTGTTCTCATTCTTGTTGGCTTTTAATTCCGTTCCGTTCCACCTCATCTTTGTAAATTTGTCGTAAATGTGACGAAAATGAAAATCCTTGAATCCTTGAATATGAGTCCTTGAATGCTAATTTTATCTGAACAGCAGGTTTCTGTTGTTGTAGTGGCGCAGGTGTCTCCTCTAGTGGCCGTTGTTTTGTTTTTTGCGCGTGCTTATTCCCAACCGTCGAAGAAGAAGCTTGACGCCGCTTCTCCTTTTTTCAGTGAAACATGGCTGCGTCCATTATGAGCTAGAAGAGTTTTAGTGCTTTAGCTTAAGACGCCTCCTGCGTTTATAAGTTCTTGACACCCGGGATATTCAGTTGTTGTTGGAAGAACAAATTAAAGACAGGGTTAAACGGTAAGTAGCGTTTGCACATGTGTTTGCATAAAGGGAGTTAAAGCAGCTCCCGCCGTTAGCACAAGGCTAACAGGAGCGTCTTATTAAAGGCTAATAAACAGCGTTCAGCACTCTGGTATAATAACACAGATAGCATCCTTATTATTCGTGTGTTTACAGGATCTTTGGAGCATGTTATCACCAGCGTGAGGGTCACAACATGGACTTCTCTTCACAGGAGGGGGACTCTGAGGCCCCCGCTGTCATCGATATGACCACCAGCGAGAAGGTACGTTTTTGTGATCGCTGATAAACATTTTAGGGGAAGATTTATGGATTTTATGGTTTAAAAACTGGATGAAATCACAACAGTTGTGATTATAATAATGACGACCATTTTCAACGGCAATAGACCACTTTTTTTGCCAGAATGAAAAGCTTTTACAAAAAGGGCTTTAAAAGTCTTACATTTACCTTGCTGAAACGTGCAGCAACAAGTACACATACAGTAGGTTTGTCCTAAATTAGAAAATCTCTCAGCTGTGCCTTTTATTAAATCAACTGTAATGTAATGGGGGTCTGCTTTCTCCTTCCAGGTTGTGGAGCTCCTGAATCAGGCTGCTCTGATACCCACAGATGAGAAACTGAATGTGCTCAAACAGGTTTGTAGCTTGGACTTTTTAACTCTGTGATACAAAAGATCGAGCACGGCCCTTACCACAGGCTGTGGAGAAAGGTAGAGAATCTAAAGATGTTCAGATTTTCACTGGGAGTGACCAGAAAGGACAGGGTTAGAAATGAGTTTGTCAGAGAGAGGGACAGCTCAGGTTAATCACTTTGGAGACAAATTTAGAGAAGCAAGGCTGAGATGGTTTGGACATTTGCAGAGGAACAATAGTGGATATATAGGACAAAAGATGTTGAAGATGGAGCTGCCAGGCAGGAGATAAAGAGGAGGACCTCAGAGGAGATTTATGGATACTACACCATACCATACCAGCTTTATTTATAAAGCACTTTAACATAAAACCAGGGTTCACAAAGTGCTGTACATATACAAATAGCATAAGCAAAATAAGATTAAATAAATAAATAAATAAATAAAATAAAACATTAAAACAAATTGAGTCAACCCCTTAGAGAGTGCCAAAGGCTTCAGCAAATAAATGTGTTTTAAGAAGAGTTTTAAACGCAGAAAGAGAAGAGGCCTGCCTAACATGCAAGGGCAGATCATTCTACAACTTTGGAGCAGCTACAGCAAAAGCACGATCACCTCTAAATTTATACTTAGTTTTTGGCACCTTAAGGAGCTGCTGATTGGTGGACCTAAGGGAACGGGCAGGGGTATATGGTTGCAGTAGCTCCGATTTAAAAACAAAGAAATAACTTTAAAAACGATCCTAAAATGTACAGGTAAATGTACAGGTAGGATGTTGTAAAGAGATGTGACAGAGTAGGATGCAGGGATAGGATGAGCTGGATGATCCCTAAAAGGTGCAGCTGAAAGCAGTTTGAGTTATTGTAGATGATGACTTGGATTTGCAGGCTTAAACAAACTTTTTACTGTCAGCATATCTTTTTGGATCTAGCATCAAAAAGCTTTTTTTTTTTAACCTACACCAGGCTGCTGGCAGAAAGTCACATGTGTGATATTTTTGCTAAACATATATAGTTATAAACTCTATAGTGGAGCCATTTTGGTTTTCCTGATTTTCTGTCCCATACATGTTTTCCAGCAATGGATGTTTATATTAAATATGTACAAAATTTCCACTAATGAGGTTTTGTATGTGCAGGTAATCCCTGTGAGCCAGAAGGCTTCAGACGGCTCTAAACCAGGAGTGTCAAACTTGTTTTAGAGCCCAGTTTGTTTTTAAGAGTGCCAGACCAGTAAAACTATTGTCCTGTAACCTACATGAAAAAATGTTCCTGTTTATTTCACTGTAAAGAAGTTTAACTACACACTACTATGGTGCCAGAGCATGGTGTTGAAGTCTCACCCATATCTGCAGCTGAGATATTCTATTTATGAGGGGCAGCCAATCAGAAGAAAACTGACTTAAAGGGGGAGGGGCTAAAACAACAACAGAGAGGACGAACTTAGGAGCTGCACAATGGATTGAGTATAAGACAAAAATTTATTATTTTTAACTGTGAATTGTGCAAAGCTAGTCTAGCCAAGGCCAATATGGAGTTGGAAATGATCAGAAGATCTCAGTGCAACCGTGTAGACTGGTGTCTAATCCACTTACACAGGAATGCACAAGAACATTGATTCAGTACATGTATTTAACCTTCAGGTCCAGGAACTCATCATCAACAAGGATCCATCTCTTCTCGACAATTTTTTGGATGTAAGTAAGCAAGTATTTGTCTCTCATAACCAGCTGTAGTTTCATTTAAATTTGCCTCATTTTTGTTTTGTTTTTTTCCTGTAGGAGATAATCGCTTTCCAGACAGACAAATCCATCGAAGTGAAAAAGTTTGTGATCGGCTTCATCGAGGAGGCATGGTGAGGTTTCAGACCTGCTGTTGTTTTGTTTGTTTGTTTTTTTTAAAGTCAGGGTCAGCATTTGAGATTTTTTACTGTTTTATTATCCTGCTTTCAGTAAAAGAGACAACGAGCTCCTCCTCAGACTCATTGCCAACCTGAACATGTTGCTGAAGGATGAAAGTGTGAATGTGGTGAAGAAAGCCATCCTCACCCTCACCCAGCTGTATAAAGTCACACTTCAGGTACAAAGAGTCAGATTTACCCGCTTCATTTCTACCATTTCTTTCTTTATGCGATCAGTTTCTGTTCTTCACTTCGTCTTCACTTCCTTTATCTTTTCTTGTCTCAGTGGTTGGTGCGCACCAAAGCCGTGTCAGAAATGCAGGAGGCGTGCTGGGATCTTGTCACACAGATGAAAGGGGATGTTCTGGCCTTGCTGGACTCTGAGAACGACGGCGTTCGTACTCACGCCATCAAGTTTACCGAATCTTTAATCATCACTCTTTCACCGCGGACAGCTGACTCTGACATCCCCAAGCGACAGGAAGGCGACATCAGCCTGGACAAAGTTCCCACAGATCACTCGTACATTCACTATGGTACAGATACTGGACTAATGTCATGTGTTGAGGTGGTGACGTTCACCTTTTAAGGCTGATGTCTTCGCTTTTTCCCAAACAGATGAGCTGTGTGAGGAGGGAAAGACGGCGCTGGAGAAGCTGCTTAAGTTCATGGTCCACCCGGCCATATCCAGCATTAACCTCACCACAGCGCTGGGCTCACTGGCCACCATCGCTCGCCAGAGACCAATGTTCATGTCTGAGGTGGTGCAGGCGTATGAGACATTACACGGTGAGCTCTTCTCAGACTTCACACTCACTCTTTAGAGTGTTATATCGGCCTGATATCAGTTCAAAGCATGTTTTTCCCAGGTTTCATAACATCAGAGGATATATTGCTTTACTATGACCTCTCACAGTCTGGCTGCAGCTGCTAAATACCTGAATTACAAGATGTTTCCTCTACACTTTCATTTTTCAGCAAACTTGCCCCCCACTCTGGCAAAGTCTCAGGTAAGCAGCGTGCGAAAGAACCTGAAGCTCCACCTGGTGGCGGTTCTCAAGCATCCCTGTAGCCTTGAGTTTCACGGTCAGATCAGCACCCTGCTTTTGGACCTGGGAATGCCCCAAAGCGAAATCACCCGCTCCACGCCTGTGCCACGAGAGCAGCGAAAGAGGCCTCGCCAAGAGCAATACACCGAGGGAAAGAAGGTCAAGATGGGTGAGTGGTTTCAGGCTAACCTGGATCCACGGATTGTGATTAAACTTGGTC